ATACTCACAAAAGTCTAAAACTGGACCCGACAAGCGAGTAAGACTTAACACTGTTAGAAGATTTTATGTGTGTTTGGGCAAATAAATAATAAGCAAAGTAGATGAATCATGTTTTTCGATGTATTTCCTTCAATGATTACAAAAATGTATTTTCAATTTAAAAGTTGTGTTACATAGATTTTGCCTCAAATTACCCAAAATCATTAAATACCTTCACATATTACCATGCCATACCGTCTTACCTTACAATATTACCATGCCATACAATATGACCTTACCATAGTACCATGCCACACTATATGACCATGCCATACCCTAGTACCTTACCAATTACCATGTTACCTTGCCAATTTTTCCTTAACATATTAACATTTTAAGTATAGAAGCTCTGAGAAAATATCTTGAGTTCTGATTGATTTACTCATCACAACTGTCGCTGGATTCATCAATGGCCTCTTCGTCTTCTCCCTCATCATCGGAGGATTCTATGTTGTCACAATTTGAAGCATCACCTTCACATTTGCACATTTCTGTGCATTTTAACCCTTGTGACCTACAGACGCAAGGTAAAGTGCAGCGCTTTTTAACACAGTTGCATCGGCCAAGTTCCCAGACCAAGTCTGGAATGCAAGGAATAGTTGAGGTTATCGGCTCATATTTGTCCTCAACTTTTTGCCATCCAAAATTGATAGGTGAAGGGGTTTCAGGGAATTGAACCAGATCCTGATTCCAAACTAAAGCTTGTAAGTGTGCTCTCAGAAGAGTTGGATTTAAGGCTGCTTTTGTGGGAGGCAGATTTTCATCTTGGCATTGCTTTTTGGAGAACAGCCACCATCTTACATCGCCTATATCTGTTAATGTGGTCTTTGGAAGGTACAGCTGACAAACACATTTCTCTAGCTGTGCTCTAACGTCTTCAGGTAGGAGCGATGTTTTCCCAAGCTGTACTAATGCTTCCAATAATTCATTATCTGCGGACTGAAAGGTTTTCCACCATTTTGGTTTCCCCTTATGTGCAAAGGATCCTGTAATGTCAGCGCCTGACAGCGCATGCAAGCCTACAAGAGCAGATGCTTTAAGAGGTCCAAGGGCGTTGTAAATTGGAAGTAGGTCAATAAACTTTTTCATACCCTGCCCTATAAACATTCCAACTTCAGCGGTGAGCATGGGGATGCGTCGCAAAGCTAAAATTACCACATCTGTATCAGGTGAATATATGTGTGTGCTAATTACTCCTTTTGTAGCGACAAAAACACCGTGTAGAATCATTTTTGTGTCAGCTTCCTCTTGCGTTGTTTGAAGGCACTGCACATCGGTGCCATCCGAGGATTGCACGTTGTTTCTCCAACTCACAATAAATTTCAACTTCTTAATCTTTGCTGACTTCAAAATTTGAATAGAAAGGAAGTTAGTCAAATCATCCTTCGTTTTGTCATGGGCCAGAAATTTTCCCATTGAAATAGATGCAATTTTCATGTCTGCTGATATTTTGTAATGAATTGGTTCATTACCTTGCTGACGGCGTACTCTTGTGTCATTTTTCAGAGAATTAGCTTGGTAAGTATCAAAAACAATATGAGTTTCATCGTAACAGCTGAATTTTTTAATCAACCAGTTGGAAAAATCCTTTGCGAGATCCTCGCATGTCTTGAGCCCTGCTGGCTTGAAGTAGCAGTGTAAAAGAGCCATACCGTCTATTATGGCTGCTTTTTTTCCACTCAAGTCTGGCGATTCATTAGTGACTGATGAGGAATTTCCTTCATCTGCTTGTTGTATTAAAGTTCCTGGTAGAGATTCCAAAATGGACAGGAGTTTCGATTTATTTGTGCAGTGAAGCATTCTGCCGTCGGGACCAAATAATGATTTAGGCAACGCGGAGAACTCGTATGTGCTGATGTTAAATTTTACATCGACATCAGGCCGACGTCGCGATGCAATTAACAATCTTGAAATTAAAGAAAAATCCGTTTTCATGACAATTAGACGGTCTTTGTGGCATACTTTTATCTTTTTTGATGCCGATGCAAATGAATTATCTTTAATTTTTGTCATACGAGACCAAAACGGAGTGGTTTTTTTTTCAATTCTTTCAGAAAAAAATTGTTTCTCAGCAGTTTTGCCAATTTCTGCAACATTATTGACAAAATTGCAGACCTCTTTCGGAAAAACGCGATTCGTGAGAATATGGGTTAGCTCTGAATTCTTGCACTGGAAAGGATTCGTCGTATTCTCAAATTCTGCTTTAATCTTGAGGACGTTTTCATCCTGGCGCTTTTGAATTTTTGTAGAAAGCTCGTGATGCTTCGACGAAAGTTGATTTTCTCTCCCTAGTAACTTTTCCGTCTCGCTCGCAATTCTATCTAATTCAGGATACACAAGGAAAAATCTGTTTCGAGCATTATCATTCAGCGTGATTCCGATGAGACCGCCGAGTACTTTCAGTTTCTTGTTTATGTGTTCAAGTGCTTCATCGGCTCCCAATGCGCAAAACGGAATTTCGTTTCGATTGACGACCCATTTGCCAAGCATAAATTGCTCCCAAATTTCTGGGTCTGTAAATGTCAAGTGATCAACTTCAGACAAATATAAACTGATCATTTTGGCATAATTTAATCTATTAAAAGAGAAAAAAAACTTCAAAAAATCATGAAGAGAAGCCAAGCATAAGTTCCAGTTTGCTGTTCTTACTGATCTAATAAATCGCAACATTATTTGCACCAAATCTAGGTATGTGCATGCCATTTTGAACAGAGGCTCCGCTTCTGATCTAGTAAGAATAAACGTATTCAGGCTTTCAGTGATTTTCTTATCATCAATGAGGGCTCTTAATTTGGCTATGGCATCTACAATACCGTCATTTTCCTGACATTGTAATTTTGAGGCAAGTTTTTTTATTGCATCATCGAGCTCAGACAGTATCCTTGGATTTGCTTTTTCATATTCCTCCAGCAGTAAAAAATTCAGACGCATGTCTCCTCTTATTTGTCGGTTAATTCATTTCTTCTATGTGAAAAAAACCGGGAATGTTTGATTTTTGCAATATCTAATTATAGATTACAGAGATACCAGTAAAATATGTGTAATCCGACGAAAAAAAAACATGATTTTTCAGTCATTATATCTAGTTTGCACGCCTAACAGAGTGCTTCCTAGATTCAAGACTGCTTTAAGAGCAGTCATTCATTGTGTCAAAATGGATGGCAAAGGCGTATACGTGTGATCAGATGAATTTTAACTTTGAATTTGGTTTGAGAGGCCCCACAAATGTATTAAATCAGGACTACCGCTGTGTGTAATTGCTTTTATTCTATCCATGCCTGCCATTTTAGCCGCCATGATGAATTTACGAGCTTCAATATTGGCCAAGAGTAATTTTTGACTTCATATTCGTAATGTGCGACCCAAAATACATCAGAAACGATACCCCACTCGACGCCATACGCCGATACCAAAAATACAGGTTTCGATCGGCGGCCATTTTGGCCGCCATATTGGATTTTGGTTTTTTTTATGGGCCGTACAGTGAGTTGTAACTCTGTTTTGAAACCTGGGACCACACAATACAATCATTGGCCGCCTTACTAGACGGCCAAATGAGAACTCAGCGATTTTCGCGCCGGGTGGGTATTTTCAGCCGCCATGTTGGATTTGCGACATTTTTTTTGATCGGAGGGTATTTTAAACATCATATTCGGATTTTACGACCCAAAAAACATAGGAATCGATACCTCACATGCCATAATACGGAATTTTCAAAAATAAGGCCTACCGAGCAGCCGCCATTTTGTTTTTGGGCTTTAGGCGCTTCCTGCACGATTTTCAAGGTTATCACCATCCTAATTCTGATTCTAGACATCATAACGAAGAGATTGATACCACTCGCCAACTTTTTTCAGAAAGTTGCACACGGGACTGGATTTTTGTACATATGAGAACAGACTATTTTACAAGTCCGAAATCTCGAAAACGGAAAGTCGTATCAAAATTCGGTCCGTACAGTTTGCCGATCTTCGATAATGGAAAAGAATCGCATCCGTCCGCGGCGGATCGGACGAGGGTAATTTTTCAAAAATTTTTCAATTTCTCGAATCAGACCCTACTATCCAGTATCCGATACCAGGCCTATACTGTAGGAGACGGTCTTTCGAAACCGAAAAATTTAACAAGTCCGAAAATCCGAATTTTTTGCACAATCTGGCAACATTGTATCGAAAAATTGACTAATTTCTTGCACCATCTGGCAACACTGCAAAAGTCAATGTGGCAAAATTTTACTCATAGATAAATCATTTATTTATGTGCACCGTCCGGCAACGTTGTAACCGCCATCTTGAAAAATACACCATTGCATAACCTGCGTATTGAAGAGGCTACTTTACACCATTGCATAACCCGCATATTGGAGGGGCAACATGCAATACTTTCATTTTACAGCGTTGCCATATTGAACAATAATCACCATACAACACTGTAATTTAATTCATATTTTTCTGCACAATTTGGCTAAAAACTTTTGCGCTCAAATTCCTGTTTTCATCCTACTGAAATCAACACTTGGCTCTTTTATCTCCAAAACCTTTCAAATACAAAATTCATTTATCAATAAATCAGGGAGATAGAGAAGCTTTAAAAAGGAGACCTTTGAGAGCACAGGCACTGAGTTCAGCTATTGGAATGCGGAGGGGCCTAGAGGGGCCTTGGGTTCAGTTTTATTGAGACAAAATGGGACATGCCACTCTGAAATAATTACAAAGATTAGAAACGCTACTTATTCCAAAATTGCAGCTTTGGTTTCTGTTTGGGATAGGAGAGATAAAACACTCTGTTGACCAGCAAACATGCATGGACGTGGCAGTGAAAAAATGGAGAATAGGGCTAATCTGACGATGCGAAAAATTTAATTTATATGAAGGGGGGAGTGATCCTGTCAGTGTAACAATTAATCTTTCTATCAATAAATGAAAAAAATGATAGTATGAGAATAAAGAGAGCAAAATTACCTCAGCTCCTAATTCAAGAAGGGTCTCAATAAGTACAGCTGTTTGAACTGTCATATGCAAGCATCCTGCTATTCGTGCACCTTTGAGAATTTTCGATGGCCCGTACTTTTTCCTTAGGGCCATCAGACCAGGCATTTCAATTTCTGCCAGCATGATTGTTTTTCGACCCCATTCTGCGAGATTGATGTCAGCTAGAAGTGAAAAATCACACTTCGTTCATGAGTTAAATTTCACCTCAAAACACCCGAATTTAATTTGTTCGATTATTAGATGTCCTGCGAGACTTGCTCATTTTCGTGGTTGGGCACAAAAAATTTTTCATTGCGGCACCATCATTGTATCACAGCTGATCTCGCGTACTAAATTCGTCTTCAAAAATTCCCGTACCGCGCGGGCCCTCCAATCGCTCCCCGCAGCGGTAACCACCCTCCCCCTCCTGACACAACGACCCGTCCCTCGCCGACTGCTGGGTAGAGTCCCCGACCCACCATCTGCATCCCGTATTGCGCCACGCTCATCGGCTTCTAGAAGCAAATTTTCGTTCATCAACTGGTCATCAAAAGCATTGAATCCAGTGTATAGAAAACTATGGGGCTCTGCCTCCTGGCCGCTACACGGCCCAACCCCGCGGAGGGAGCTTCGCGGGCCCTATACGCATATGTATAGGCAAGAATGTTCTTCCATTTTAATACACAATTTTGTGTTTGACCTGCATTGATTTCAAACTTTTTAGCGTAACACTCAGATTTGTAAATGATGAGGAATAGCTGGATGTACATGATTTGGTATTAATAAAGGCATTATATTGACGGCTAAACTCGGGAAACATGTATCTCAATTTGGAACGTTGTACACTTCTCGTCATACTTTTTTTTTTTTTTTTTTTTATTGGAAAACTAATCAACGTACTAAATGTTTTGAAAACCACTGTGATTTCACTTCTGCTCAAAGAATATTCAGAGAAACTTTAAAGCGATAAAATCGGCTCCTTCCCCTTCGAAATCTTAAATTAGACGCAGATCCCTACATAAAGCATAAGAGATGGCGCCACAGTCGCTGATCTTAAAACATGCCATTTTTGTCACTTCTCATTAATTTGTGAAGTAGGGATTGAATATATTAAAAATGTCTCAACGTTACTACAAAGTACATATCCTCAGGATTATGCAGCTGTAATCGATGTTAACCTTAAATGAAAATTAGTACCCGAAAATATGCACGCCGTAATGAGAATCTTCACTTTTGCGCTTATTCAAACGGGCCGCGCGCGCGGACGTGCCACATTTCTTTCAAAAATCACGATACTCCATTGAGAAAAGCGGATTTAGGCACCGATCGTGACGGCTCGGACAAATGCTTGAATTCCCCTCTTCCGAGAGTTGGTGCAGTCCGAGGGCTATTCTCCCTCTCACCATTTCTCCTTCGCTGCGCGGCTGATCACAGTGATCACTCTCTCATCTTTTCTCTCCACTGCTCCGCCACCACCCCGCACGCGGCCAGTTTAGACGCCTGGCAGTCCTGCTGGCTGCTTCCGCTTCGATGACATAATTTCTCTCCTACGCAAAGGCGCCTGCCGCGGGCCGCGGGGGTGTGTGACTTTTCCACTCCAGCCCCTCTCTCCTCCCTCCTTCCTACCACACTTGCTAGGTACCTGCCACCTAGCCGTTGCTCTTAGCTGCCTCTTGGTTTTGCCGCATAAAAGCGGATCCCAGAGCGAATCCAGAAACTTCGAACCGGGAGGGAGGGGGTGGCTGGCGGAAGAGCCAGAGACAAGAGACCCTCCACTGGTCTCCTAGCGACAGGTGGAAGCTTTTACTTTCGGGGTTTCAACAATTCCTTATGGACAATTATTAGGGAGAAACAGTCATCACCTTAGTTTCGGCTGTTGACTTACCTACATGGTCGATGATGAGCTTCGGATGACGTCATGAGCCAAACAACTTTCCCAAACGTCGGCCATTTTCGGCTTGTTTGCAAAACGAAACTGCCAACACGTTGTTGAACATCAACCATGTAGGTAAGTCAACAGTAGAATGCTGCAGTCCCGAAAGTAAAAGCTTCCACCATGGCCAAGATACTAGTGGAGGGTCTCTTGTCTCTGGGAAGAGCATAGAGAAAAAAAAGGAGGTGTTTGCATTTCGGGCATCTTGGAATTTTTTGATGATTTGATGACGTAGGTCGTTACAGCGACGGTGCAGCGACGCTAAACGTCACTGTACCGACCTACTTCATCAAATCATCAAGATTCCAAGATGCCCGAAATGCAAACACCTCCTTTTTTTCTCTATGGCGGAAGAGAATTCTAGTTCTGGGGTGCTTGCCCCGAAAATATTTACAAATTTCACAGCATCTACTTTGCAGTTTGAGTCAATTTTGTCATGAATGATTGTGTTAATGATAATTTTAATGTCAGAGCTTTCCTTCTTCTTTTCTCGTGTTTTTCGGGCAAACGGGCGGGGGTAGGGCATACGTTGTGTGTTCAAAAAGTTACTGATGCTGCCCCAGCCTTAAAAATGGTTCGATCAAACTCAACTGGAGTTCATTTGAAAGCCTATTCTCTTGCGAGTACAGTGGTTTTTAGTTTTTTGAAAAATATTTATAAGTTTCTGCACAACGTCAATTCTACGGTGGCGTGTTTGACCAGCTCGGCGATTTTGGTCCTCCAGAAATTTTCTAATGGATTGATCCAGCTGACACATTCAATTCTACTGAAATTTCTGCAATGGTGGTAGGAATGTCTCTTCTAACAATCGCTCGAAATTCTTCCACATTTGCATAATTCACAGAGGTCGTGCCTATGTTTCATCATCTTCCACTGCCGTCCTATCCTTTAGGAAACACGAATGCCACTCGAAACACTGACTCCAGCCCATCGCATATTCACCGTGCACTTGCTCGATCAGGTCAAAAACCTCTTTCGGCAGATTTTTGCAGATGAACACTAAACTTTATTAAATATTTGCTCAATTTCAGCTAGCATTTTCGCTGTAATCAAAGTGACAAAGCAGAAACACACTGAACTGACTTTGGCGAGGTCAGAAACTCGCATCCTTTGAGGTTAAAAAGAGCATGCACTCAGCTAAAGTTTATGTTACCATATCCAAGTAGGCCACGTATAAAATTGATTCTTATCAGCTTCCTCTGTGCACGCACTTGTATGTTGCACACACCTCACACTAGCGTATGGATCTCGATGATTCGGCCCTCCAACATAAATCGCTGAGCGCGCAAAACATGCCGCCGTAAAATTGATGTTGTACGAAAAATAATAAATATTTTTCAAAAAACTCAAGACCACTGTACTCGTGAGAGTATAGGCTTTCAAATGAGCTCCAGTTGAGCTTGATCGGATCATTTTTAAGGCCAAGGCGGCATCAGCCCGATAACTTTTTGAACACCACGTATGTCCATACGCTTGGATCCGCCCACGTTTTGCCGGTTAAAAATTTAATCTTCCACTTCCCTCTCCAACCACACCGATATCTTTTCAAAAAAATTGTGCCCTAGGGTGACATGAAACCAAGGAAAGGAGGTGTTGCGATTTGGGCCGAAATCGGCCCCTTCCACGGAATCGAGTTCCACGCCATGTTTTTCGAAGAGTCCTTGAAAACTCCACGGCTGATGTCGAAGTCTTCGTTTTGCCCCCGGGCCGCCACAGCCCCCCTGGGGTAGGATGGGCCTGTTGCAATGAAAAATTTCACTAAAATGCAAAAAGTCACATAAAAGCTTCAAACTTAGCATCGAGTCCGAGTGCAACTTCTTACCAATGTTAACGCGGACACAGCCTATGAATTAATAGAGAGTATTCAAAACTCTTAACCCCCTGCCCCCCTTCATTTTTGGTTGCGGAGCGGGAAAAACCGGGAAATTTGGCAGAAATAATGCCCGAATCTATTGTCCAACTTGACGAGGACCCTTGAAACGTTGCGACCAGTCGGAGAACCCCGTTCGGGGACTTCCGTCCTCTTGAGGGACGAAATCATCATCCATAAAAAACCCCGTTACCTCCTCATTTTTCGTGGCCGAGCGGGAAAAAACTGGAAAATTCACCAGAAATGATGCCTGAAAGTAACGTCCGACTTAACGAGGACCCGTGAAACGTTCCGACAAGTCGGAAGACTGCAATACAGGGACTGCCGCCCACTTTAGAAAAACATCCACTTTAGGAAACATCCATAAAACGACCAATGCTCCCCTCATTTTTCGTCGCGGAGCTTGTAAAAGCCGGGAAATGGTTCAAGTTGGACACTACTTTTCGGCATTATTTCGGTCTTCTTCCTCCAGGAATTCTCTTTATCGGAGTTGAAAAAAATGGACGGAGGAAGAAAGGAAAGATCTTTCAATATTCACAACTTCATCCATGTTGGACAGAACGTTTTTAAGAAGACAGCAACTGGTGTTAATACTCGTCCATTCTCAGGTAACAATAAAGAGGCAAAAATTGAATTTGTCAAGGATAACGAATGAAATTCAGGGGGCAGCGGGGGTTTTATGGATTTATCCTTCCCTAAAGTGCGCGGTAATCCCTGTATTGCAATCTTCCGACTGGTCAGAACGTTTCACAGGTCCTCGTCAAGTCGAACGTTACTTTCAGGCATCATTTCTGGTGAATTTCCCGGTTTTTTCCCGCTTGGCCACGAAAAATGAGGAGGCAACGGGGTTTTTTATGGATGATGATTTTGTCCCTCAAGAGGACGGAAGTCCCCGAACGGGGTCCTCCGACTGGTCGCAATTTTTCAAGGGTCCCCGTCAAGTTGGACAGTAGTTTCGGGCATCATTTCTGGCGAAATTACCGGTTTTTACCAGCTCCAAAACGAAAAATGAGGGGGGCAGCGGGGGTTTTATGGATGTTGTACTCCCTGAAGTGAGTTGCAGTCTCTGTATTGCAGTCCTCCGCCCGGTCGCAACGTTTCAAGGGTCCTCGTCAAGTTGGACAATAGATTCGGGCATTATTTCTGCCGAATTTCCCGGTTTTTCCCGCTCCGCAACCAAAAATGAAGGGGGGCAGGGGGTTAAGAGTTTTGAATACTCTCTTTTTTAATTCATAGGCTGTGTCCGTGTTAACATTGGTAAGAAGTTGCACTCGGACTCGATGTTAAGTTTGAAGCTTTTATGTGACTTTTTGCATTTTAATGAAATTTTTCATTGCAACAGGCCCATCCTACCCTAGGGGGGCTGTGGCGGCCCGGGGGCAAAATGAAGACTTCGATATCAGCCGTGGAGTTTTCAAGGACTCTTCCCTAAATAACCTTTGGACCCCCCTAACTTTTGATTGGGGGGGGGGGTTCGGATCGACTTCTGGTTTGCGCCAAAAATTTTCTTTTTTGATGCTCTTTCTAACGATGTATGACATGATGACAGTTGTCGATTGAAACTTTTGTGTTGCCCCCGCCCCGTCTCCCCGGGGGGGGGGGGGGGGTTAGAACAAAAAGTACCTCAAAACGTTTCCCCCTCGATATGAGGATGGACGCCACAAACCGAAAGTCGATATCGTAATTATAGAACTGAAGTTATGGCCAGTGGTGCGTAACTTTTGAATAACCCTGTATACACTTATATTTTATTTTTACAGATCACCCATAAATACGTGCATGATGTTTCCGAGAAAATGTTGATTTGTTCTGATCAGATATTCCTATAAAAGGTGCAGTTTCTGAATGAAATATTGTAAAGGTTGATAAAATTTTAATGCAGAGTTTGGAGGACATAAAAACACCATATGAACTTACATGAACGCACACATTGATTTAGCACCTCTAGTTCCGATAGGTCAACGGCCTTATGAAAGAAATAGGGAATTCCATCTTTGGTCTAACTTGGGTCGGCGTCTAAAAGCAGCGACCGAGACCCGAATTGGGTCCTTGACCTGCACCTGTTCATCGGGAGGACAAGGAAAGAGCGAAAGATAGGTGTCACTTCGAGTGCTAGAGCTACCGGGCCTTACACATCCGTGGGGTGATGACACTTCGCGTCGGATCCGGAGGTGCGCGCAGGCACAGAGTAAGGGAGGCCTGAGATAGAGAGAGATGAGAGGGGAGGGGAGAAAGAAAAGGGCAGAAACCGGAGAGAATTGCCAGGCCAGAGTCCCTTTATACCCAGAGTTAAGACAACTCGATTATCAGCTGACTGGCAGCCGGCCTTGGCTGGCCATGGAGGCCGAAACGAGTGCACCCAAACGAACGATATTGAGGGATAAGGATCAGGAATCCTGCGATGTCTGTCACACAAAAACAACAACATCAACAAATTGATCAATTAAAAAGAAAATGAGATTGGTTTGTGAATAATTTCTTAATCTATTTTCATTTTGGACCGATGGAAATAACAATTTACTCTTGATAAACCACAATTAGGTGATATTTTCATTATTCTTGTTCACATTCGAGGTACCGCCATCTTGGTGCACTCGTTTCGGCCTCCATGAGCGAGAACCAATCAGAATTGGATTTTTTTTTAGGCCACTTTCAGCCGAACCAAAAGTGAGTTGTCTTAACTCTGGGTATAAAGGGACTCTATGCCAGGCATGAGGATTCGGACCCCCACTCCTTTCGATAACCGGCCGAGATTGTAAAGGTTTGCGCGGGCATTTTGAAATGCGCAGACATCGGAACTTTCATCGCGGCGTGCATAGTTTCTCCGCAAATAATGATCGCCGAAAGAAGCTGATTGTACATAACTATTCAGCATACTAAAATCTTTGTAGTAGCGTTAAGAAAATTCCGCAAGTCTGGCTTATGTCTGAGCAAATCGCCCAGATGCATCGAAAAACATGGAAAAAACGACAGATTTCGGCGAAGCGCCACGTGGCGCGTGGTGGCGGTTTTCTCAACTACAGTAGTAGGGATCCACCTTAAAACACCGTGCGCAAGGAAAATTACATTGGATTTGACACCTCACATGACACTGTAAGTATGCGTATTTAAAAAAAAAAAAATCGAACTCCCAGAGGCCTTATTATGGCCGCCATTTTGAAATTTAGGCAATTTGGGGAGAAGTTCCGAGATCGAACCGTGGTAAACTTTGGGTATGTTGTTCAATAGGACCTTCTGAAGATGTTTACATGGGAAAAGTTTGTTAAGCAATTTGTTCCGGGTTAACCCTCTTTTTTTTCAGATTTCTCCTTGACTAACCCCCCAAAAACCCAAAAGTCGTGGATTTAAGGATATGAATTTTGGGCAATATGCACGAATAGCTATCTACTGGCACTTGATTGACTATAAATGTATAGGATATGCATTTACGAGCCACAAAAACAGCCTAACTTGACTTTTTCAGCGCCTTGACCCGAAATTCCCGCCCAAAAAAATGAAAAATCGTATTTTCTCAAAAACGGCCCCATCGCAGATTTCGCGGTTTGTTGCTCCTCAATCAGTAGGCCTTCTAGTTGACATTTCCGCAAAAAAATCGCGGGTGGTGTGTTGACCGCATTAAAAGTGTTTAAAACGTACCGGGTGAGTATAGAGGATTCACGAGCAGCGGTTCGCGGAACTTCACCAGAGGAAGTTTCTGGAATTTTGCAGGGATAAGTTAGCGGAACTTTTCCGGAGCATGTTTTGAAAAATTTCGTCCTAACTTTCTACGAATAACGTTGAAAGATGAAAGACGAAATGGTCAACGTCGCTTCCTCTACAGTCAGAAGCAATTCTCACTATAAACCCATTTTTTAATACATACGTTTGGCCCAAATTTAGAACATAGGTACTGGTACTTAATGCAGATATGACAGGATATAATGGATATTTTAAAATGAAGAAAACTTGAACTTCAAAAATACAAATTTACACAAGAACATACAGTTTATAGATTGAAAATTTGTGAGCAAAAAAATAAAATCTACCTAAAATACGGCCAACAAATTTTCTTGGGATAAATGAACATTTATTATCCTATGCAATTTTTAATTTTTTACCTTGAACGCAGCATAATAGCCGCCGATTTAAAGATCCGCAGTGGTTTCATGGGTGTACTTAGCAATTCAACAATTAACCGCCAGGCTCAAGGCACCTTAAAAGATCTATAAGTCTATCCATGATTTCTTCGCTTACATTGTGCGTGTAACAAAGTTAAGTTTGCACGCGCTTATATTCAGTGGCTTGTAAAAGTTGAGACAAAAATCCAGAGACAAAATTCTTTGACTGATCACTAATCACAGTGATTACTGATAGTGGAGGTTTTCCGGTGCATAGCACGGGTTTCCTGTTAGTTACCAAAAGAAATAAACTAAACCTTGAAAATTCAAACTTTTGGAGGTAGGTGTTAGAAGTCAAAATTTAAAAAAATTTTCTTCTACTCTTTAGACATAGTAATCTATACCTGGTAACATATACAGTACTAGCCACTGTAACAAATGTCAACAGATCGTCCGATTGCTTCATTATAGAGGGATTAGCTTTGTAGTGGGCGTATGTATAAACCATAGGGATGCCAAGGGACTAGCCGATTTCTTTACTGCAGCAAGACTCTCGATATTACGGTTTTTGTTGTAGCAGGATAGCATTGGGGTATAGTACAGTAATCTAAGTATTTTTATCTGAAAAGGTGCTGGGAGTTTTTATGCCAACTGAAGGATACCCTCTCTATTCTAATAAAATCATTTTTAAGACAATTGAAGGACGGAGTGAGGAAGGGGAGTAAGTCGTTCGATTAGCTGTAGGGAGAGAAGGGAGTTCCAAGTCCCAAAGTGGGAAACCTATGGGTGCGAGAACCCCAGTGGGTTTCCCTTTGCGTTGTTGTTGACTCTACCTTCCGTCCTCTGTTTCTCTTTATTCCCTTCATAATTCACTTGCGTTCTCTGTTTCTCATTATATCATTCTTAGTTGTTGAATGGGTTTTTCTTTAATACTTGATAATACTGTGGTTTTTTTTGGATAGTCAATTTCAATTAAGTTTGTTGGATTTTTATTTTAGATTAAGTGAATTGCTGATGAGGTATATTTTTGTTTCATTCTTAATTCACTTTAGGCAATTTCAATTTGTTTCCACCAGGCGATTTCAACAAGTTTGGTGGCCATGAAGCCACCTTTAAGGGGGCACAGCGCCCCGGGGATTGGGCTACGTAGCGGACTCCCAGTATGTATTTCAAATAAAAAACCAAAACCTTCTTGCCGTTTTTCTTGATAATAGAAAAACTTTTCTCCTGTCTGTTTCCGTTTCTCATACGTAGGAACTGCTTCAAATCTTTATCTGCATAATATGCTTACACTTCCCACATGAGCTAAGTTCTAGGCAAATGTACTAGTCTAATTGGATTGCATTTGGCAAAAAGGAACCACTAGCATTGCAATGTTTCTAAGATTGTGCAACTTCTTTTGTCTTGGAGGAAAAACCCGATTATCCATTAATAGTTTCTATTTTACTTGCTAAAAACTGTGAATTTAAGACAAAAATTCCCATCTAAATTTCATAGTTTTTCACAATTTCCGCAATTTTATTGCAAAGGATGAAGTTGCACAATCGTAGCATCATCGCAATGCTAGTGGTTCCTTTTTGCAAAATGCAATCCAATTGTTCTTCTCTATTGTTTTGTTACCACCTGTGAGTGGATTAATAAATAAATAAATTCAGTGAAAAAATCTCAGCAGATTCAACTCTTCAGCCGAGAGAGGGACTAGGTATAGCCCTTGTACGTGAATTGACAGAATCATTCTTGGACAAATGAACAGTGTAGGTAGGAAGTGATCGCAAAATTCAGAAGAATGAAAACAGGATTCTTCTTGGAAAAGAAGTGTTGCATTTGGTACAGCTAATGTTTATCAGTAAGAATCCTGTTTTCATTTCTCTTAAGTTTGCGACTTCCTTAGTTAAGACTGATACTTTAGGTTTAAGCGCAGGGGCTACGGTTCTTTCCTTGGCTAAGAAGACAAAAATCCGCCCAGATTTCATACCTGAACAATGCGATAAATCGCAGGCCAGTAAGACCGCGCCAAAAATTGACAAAGAAAAGAAAACTTATGAAGAATGACAACTTTATTCTTACCAACTTTGTATGCTGGCTTCTTGGACATCTTGAGACGTAGAACGAGATTTGACGGAAGTTACAATGTCAATGAGAAACGAGGACAGAAATACTCAAAGAAAACGAAGGTACAGGCACAGACTGTACAGACCGGTAGATGTTTCTATGAAAAGATATCACAATGAGGGAGCAGAGGAAGTTGAAAAAGGAGATAAGAATGAACCTCTTGATCAAATTGTGCGATAAATCTAAAATTACATTGAGTGCAGCAAACGTCCTGTTACATCACACCTCGATGATTTCAGTTCACGTTTGCGTTCTCACCAGTCTTCAGTATGCTTCAGTCTTCACGTGCACGGCCAGGGTTCCCAGATGGAATTTTCAAAAATCAGCACTCAGCCTCATCAAATTTCAGCACCAAGGCCGAAAAATCAGCACTGAGACAAAGAAATTTCAGCACTTTTTCAGCACTCTGCAATTTTCTTTGTAAAAACCTAATTTAAAGTTAACTACTGAGATTTTAACGGTCAAAACCCACAACTAGCTGCAGATCCGATAATTTCGCCTGTCTCACTTGCCAAACAGAGCACAGAAGCACACAACGCAGCACTGATGTCACGTCTCTGGCGCTAAATTTGAATGAGTCACCTCATGCAGAAGACCGTCAGAGAAAAAAAAGAGATTATTTCATACTTCTAATTATGTAATTCTATGAATGAAAATTCTATTTATGTATGTAATGTTCTAATTATGTTCCCATAATGTACTATTTTTCGGAAAGATATTCTAGCATTAATTACACGTTGAGGGAGAAAAATACTGAAATATTAGAAAAGACATCGTGATATAGACCGTATTCGATAACGGTTCGATGTATCGTTTGGTTCAAAACAATAGAACATAACCTCAAACCCAGCTGGAAGGATTTAAGTCGGAAAAGCCGAAAATGAGAAATTTCCTGACAATTTCACTTTGCATTGGCATTTGGTACTCAAAAGAATGAAAAATCTGTTACAAAAGACCCGTTTTCTTAGATTTCTGAATTTAATTTTGAGGCTATGTTTTTGTTTTGAACCAATCGATATCGATACAATCTCACCCGTTTGATGTATCGAATACGATCTATTGCATCTCAGAGGACTCATATTTTAAGGATGAGAAGTTTTGAGAGGGGATCCTAGGCTATGGAACGCCGTTAGTGTCAAAACCCTTTTCTTGCGCGCGCGGAATTTTTTCTGGCGCGCGGAAAGAAAAAATCCGTTTTCGATGAAAATCTCTGAATTTCCGGATTCCGCGCCGGTTTTCGATATATTTGCGCCGTTTGTGTCAAAACTATTTTTTCCGGCGCGGCGCTCCAAATCTGTTCCGCGCGCGGAATTTTCGATATATCGATTCCTGCTCGCCGTTTGTGTCAAAACTATTTTTTCCGGCGCGGCGCTCCAAATCTGTTCCGCGCGCAGAATTCTCGATATATCGATCCTTCCAAAAAAACAAAAATGTGATTTTTGTACAAAATTTCGGCCCAATCCAAAAAATGTCACTAATTACCAAAAACAAAAAAAAAACAAAAAAAAAACCAGGCACCCAAAAATATGATGGCAGTACCGTTTGGATTCATCATATAAAAGGAAATGATATCAAAACGGCCCAATTTTCTCTTTCATGCCCATGCAATATACCAAACACCCCAACTTTTTTCAC